CTATTAGGCCTACTTAATATAAAAAAATTACAGCACAGAAAAAAATCGCGTTAATAGGAATTTACAGAAAACATGATACCAGATTTAGCAGCCAAAATACCTGGTGCACTTTGGTGTAACAACCAGTTATGTAGTTTTTTTTCTGAGTCAAATTGATTGGCTCCATCAAGAAGAAGGCCCTTAAAATCATCGGTACAGTATCGATGAAAATACCGCCAGAGACAGGTATGCTATTGATAGTCTACAGCACCGACGGATAGTGGCAGCCTTGACAGTTCTCTACAAAATGCACACACCCAAATGTCCAGCAGATTTGCAAGTCCTACTTCCCCCTCCATTCGAAATACGTCGTTCTACGCGTAAAAGCACAGCAATGCCAAGTCATGCCCTTTGTCTGCCAAACTCTAAAACTAGAACGCTGTATAGAAGCTTCATCCATTCTTCAGTCCCGGTTTGGAAATCTCTTCCAGACAGTGTAGTGGGGAATATTGTTATAGCGGCAATTCAGAATTTCAAGTGCAGAGTGCACAAACACTTACAGTACCTCAAACCTCACATTTCAGATAAAAATTAAAATATATTAAAAATAAATAAATAAATAAAAAACCAAACAAGCAAAAAACTAAGCTTTCCAAAAGAAACTTTTCAGTTTTTACTTTCGGTTGCAGCGAACCATTGATTGGCCCATCGGGTGTGTTTTTCGCAACCAGTGTGGCCCCTGTTCGCAAGTGCACTCTATAAAAAAAAAAAAAATTCACACAATTTTGTATACTGTGGGTGATTTTTTTAACGCAATCAATTTTTCAAGTTGGAAGCAATGTCCTCCTTTGGGTTGTTTACAGCCTCTCTACCACGCCAATTTACACTTCCAAACCCTACTTAATATTAGATGAAAACAAATTCATGTTTTGTGTAATATGTTGACAAAATACAGGAGTGGTTTGTTTACGTCAGACTAATAAAGTATTATGCTTCATTTTTTCCCGAACACAAACCAATTTCGAATAAGAAGTCATGTACTAATCTCTATTTTAATTACCCAAACATGCAGTCCTTATCTAATTTAATTCTGAATCTGCTGTGTTTATGTGTTATTAACATTGTTTTTGTATATTATTTTTATCATTCTTCTTCTTAATATGTTCCGTCTTTCAACATTACGCTTTCCACAATTTGTTTCCATTTGTTTCTATTCAAGGCAGGATGATTTGCTATAGTGTTTGTGTATACATGTCCTTCCAGGTCTTTTTTACCTAGTTATTTTTGGGTCTTCCTACTAGTTGTTTTACCTTCCGTTTTAGGTCTTCCATTGTTTTTTGACTGGAGTTTCGTCCAATAATCTAATTATGTGTCCGTACCATTTTAATCTGCGTTAAATTCTTGTGCTCCATTCTTTTTGTTCTGTTATGTTGTATAGCCTAGTAGCCTTTATCATTATGAACATAAAAGTAGGCCTATTACTGGTTAATATTTTTAAAGTACAGTTAAACTTGCCTAAGTCGGATAATTTCTAATAAGTTGATCTAATTTTACATGCCAAATCGTTGTGTTTTCCATTATTTAACAATCTGTAAGTCAAATTTTATCAAAGCTGAACAATATTTCAATGGCAATTTAAATTTGAATTAGGCAAGTTCAACTGTATAGTAGAATTTCCAGGTCCATATTCTCAAAATGTTCTAACTTCAGCGCCAACCAAGCTGGGGCTGAGGTGTTGTGGGCCCTCACGCACCCCTACTGCCACATCCTGCATCCGCCCCAGTGTTGCGCTGCAATACGCACAGCGTATGACCGTCAGCTGCTGATTGCATCTCCATTCTCTCCGAGGGTCACAGTGCAGTCTGCTGATCGTCGGTTGCAGACCGAGCTAATTTTATTAAAAACAATACTCTGTGTGCACACCGTTGCCTTGCATTCACCACATGCATGTGGACCGTGTTGGACGACAAACGTCAGTCCAGTGTCAGTGTGTAAGTGAGGGATAGGCCGAGATAGGTGTAGCCTAGCCTGTCAGTAGTAAAGTAGTGGCCTTGCAATACCACATAGTCATAGGCCTAGGTTACTTAATTTTTGGGCTAGGACTTGGACCTAGGCCTACTGTGACTACTAGTGGAGTAGGCCTAGGCCCTAGTTAGTAGGCTAAGCTGCCTACTGCTGGGTAGCCTGCATGTCTGGCCCGGCCAACCTGGCCTGAAGTTACCAACTAGGGCCTAGGTAGGCTGGGCCTAGGCTAGGTCTAAGGGCAGGCCTATGCCTAGTTGTTAGGCCTAGGTTAGGCCCCCCTGGGCCTAGCTAGGCCTCCTCCTAGCCTAGGACCTAGGCCTAGGTCCTATCTATCTTAGTAGGAGGACTGAGCCGATATCTGTCAAGGTAAAAAAAATATACCTCCTTGCTCGCATCACCATAAGCATGTTGAACACTGGCAACCTTTGCCAATGACATAAATATTTAAATATCGCTGAAACCAAAATAAAGCAAATTTTGCCTAGGCCTAGGCTCTCACTCACACTCACAGCTCTCTCAGAGATCTCATCATCATGATGACCGCCCTCTATGAATACGCATACAAAACACAGGTGGCCGGCTAACTTTTCTAAAATATTTCAAATTAATATCAGCTATTCCATTTAACAACACTCAATGATATCAATAAAAACATCTACAAGATATACAATGGTTAAACAATTAAAACACAAAATACATTACAAACAAGCATAGTGGTTATGTTTCATTTCATTTATTTTGTCAAAAGAATAAAGAAACAGATCGAGAAGAAAATTACACTCAATTGGCCGGACACAATGTTGGCGTAAAAGTGAACTAAATCACTGTCTAGTGGTTCTGCGTTGTCAATGAAAACATATATTAGAATAAAATAGTCAAGTAAAAATATCATTAAAATACATAT